TTTTACAGCCCTTGAGCTAAGTATTGTTTATATGTTTTTAAATGGTTACCTTTCTTATTGTTATATTTTTAATCCTCGCCCGACCAATGCTTATTGATTTTAGAGAGAGAGGAAGTGGGAGGGGGAGAGAGAGAGAGAGACATCAACCTGTTGCCTCCTGTTCACCCACCAACCGGGAACCGAACCTGCAACCCAGGTCTGTGCCCTGACCTGGAACCAAACCGCTACTTCTTGGTGTATGAGCTGACACTCCAAGCACCTGAGCCACCTGGCCAGGGCTAAGTCATGACCTTTTAAATGGTCACAAAAGTCCCTACATACCAGCCTCCATTTTGCCACTTGGCACACAAAGTGTAAAATATATTCCGTCTGGCTCTTTAAGAAAAAGTTTGCTGACCCCTGATTAAAGAAGCTTACTTGTAATGATTGGAAGAACTGTCTGATTATAGCAAAATCCGAATTTTAGAATAGTTTTAAAGAAATATATTTCATTTGTTATTATTGTTGTTGTTGTTATTATTATTATTGTCAGTGTATATTTTATCCAGCAGTAGATGTTGTTAGTGTGACTGATTCATGGATGGGCATTAGTAACTCGGTCTGTGTATGGCCTTGCCTCGGCTACAGAGTTTGGTTCTGACTATTCAGAGCGAAACGAGGTCCTTTGTCAATAACTGGGACACATGTGGGCCGCAGACGAGAAGCCTGGGAATGCCAAATCCATTTTGCTTTCCTCAGAACTCCAACCTGATTACAGATGGGACCAAAGGAAGGGCAGACCTGAGAGAATTACAGAGTGATGGGGCCAAAGCCCTCATCACACCATGCCTGAAACCCACCCTGGCTCTCACCTTTCGGGTCAGATGAGCCAACAAACTTCCCTTATTGTTTGTCAGTTAGAGGTAGGTTTTTGTTATTTGTAGATGAAACAACCTTAACAAATAAAATGGAGTTATTTTACCTCTAAGAAGAATTTCACAGAGTAGCTCTAAGGAATAATTTCTGGAATTGTTTTATCCTTGGAACATCAAAATCATGGAAAAATATAATTATGGCCTTTAACATCATGGAACAGGAAACTGGGCAGAGGAGCAATTATCCTGGATGACAGCATCAAGATCTAAAACCAGCTGATAGGCAGGAACACTCTACCAAATATAACACTGAAATTCAATAAGAATGAGCTTAAGAAAATGAATAAGGATGCGCTGCATGTGTAAGAAAAGACAAGACTTGGCCAACACTGTGAAGTGACCACCAAAACCACTAATATAGTGTCAGGCTGTATTATTTAGACTCTCACCTCTTTGCTCCTCAGGCCACACCTTAGCGCAGTGCTGGGTTCCAGACTGTAAAAGGGATCCAGACCAAGGGACACTCGGAGTGACTCAACTGGCTGGCAAGAATATGTAAAACCGTACCAAATGAGAAACATTTGAAGGAACGGAGAAGTTTGTTAATGACATCAATGACAGCAGCTGTGGTGACAGTAAACACTTGAGTCCTCGCCATGTGCCTGGCACTACGCTGAGCCATTCCACCTTATATCATTTCGCCCTCACAACAACCGTATGGGGAGGAGGGCCATTACTTGCCCCCAGCTCATACACAGAGGAAACCAACGTTTAGGTAAAAATCTTACCTGAGCTCACACAGCTCGTAAGCGGTAGAACCATGGGTGTTAGGTCATAGCTTTAAGTGGTGAACGTACCATCTTTCAAGGATTGCCAAGAAAGATGATTTGTTTCATGTGGCTCCGGTTAGTAGAAACAAAACCAATGGGTAGAAGTTACAGGGAAATAGATTTCCATTGAGTATAAGGCCATCTAGTCTCCTCTTCTTTAGCAAAGAGGGGGTTCTTCTTTTTAAGATCATTGACTCAACACAAAATTTTTGGACAGTTCTTCCTCAGTCCTCATCTTCTTAGACCTGTTAATCATATTCATTTTCACAACAGTTTGGGCTACATGAGACCATATTTTATTTCTCTTCTTCCTTTGGAGTCTCTCTGCCCTTTCTGCCCTTTCCCCTTGTTCTGACGGGCTTGTTCCGCGAGCCCGGGGTTTGAGCCAGTCTTCTGAGGCTGCTGCTCCCTGGGCTGCTCTGATCTCTGACAGAGCTCTTGTCCTGATTTCCACATGTCCTTTGCAGATGCTCCATTTTTCATCAGAAATCCAATGTGGCAAAACCCAAACTTACCACACCCCTCTAACTGTTCTGCTGCCCACCCTCCCTGTTTTGGGTCGCAGCCCTACTATCCTGTGCCTCCAGGTCTACCTTGTGTTTGTTTTGCCTGAAATCAATCACTAAAGCCTATTGACTTTTCATGTATAGGGTCTCTTGTGTTTTTTCTTTCTTGTCCAGTCCCATTCTCACCCTCAAAGGACCTTGTTAACCTCTCTCCAAGTCTCCTAAATACTCTTGCTACTGGATACTTCTAAATCTCATCACCTGCTTGTATAAGAGCCCGTGACAGCTCCTCACTGCCCATCACATCGGTTCCATGGACCCACCCGGGGTTTCAGGCAGCTGTTCCCAATACCTCCCAGCAGAAACCTTCTATTCCTGTCTTGCTGGCCGGTGCAGTTCTCCCCTGCCCTGAGAAACAGGCTCCTCACCGCCCCCTTTACCTTCACTCACGCTACTCTCCTCCTGAGAGTAGGTTTGTCATTTGCTGGTTCAGCTTTTATTCTTTTAAGGCCCACTTTGTGGTCCACGTCTTCCTTCTCGGCATCCCTCTAGTTCCTGCAACCCACTGAATTTCACCTTCTAGTACTTGTATAGAGACTCTGTTGCAATTTTCCATTTTTAAAAAAGTCCCTTAGTTCCTCATAGTAGACTTTACATTTCTTTAGGGCAACTCATTCGAATGTTATATCTAGCACTAGACTGCTCAGACAGGTGTTTGTTGACTCAGAACTAAAGAGAGGAATAACATTGACAACTTATTAACTTATTCACATGTACCAATCACTGTACTAAATAGAGGCATTGCATTCATTTTAAGAGAAGGAAATCAAGGCCAGGAGGGTAAGTAACTTGCCTAAGGTCACCTAGCTGATAAGTGTTGGACCCTGAACTTAGACCTAGGTAGTTTGTGTACAGAGCCTGCACATCCAATCCCTGTGTCATGATTGGTCCGTTCCAGGCCTGTGCTGTTCTTGAGAATCAGTGTAGTCCAGCACTGCCGAGCTTGTGTATTGAGAAGGACCCCCCACCCTTGAAATGGGGGTACACAAATGTGGTTTATAGGAAGGCAACCTCATCACTGGCCATGTCCTCAGTGACTTTGAAAGGCCATCAGCTGAAGACTGTCTTGCTTGATCGCAACAGTTGTTTAGGACAGTGATGAAGAGGGCCTTGCCTCTGTTGTCCTCACACTGTCTGGTTATTTCCAGGGGTGATAAATATGGAAACCTCCAGCTTCACACCCTGCCAAGCTTGCGGTATTTTTCTCTTTTTGGAGGGTTGCTTTCTTTTTTTTTCTATCTTCTTTGAGATCTGCTTCATTTATTTCAACTCTGAGAGTGTGGACAATAAGAATCTCATCCCCATTTCTTCGTTTGATTGGCTAGGAACACCTTGCTACCAGACCTATGTTTTTACCTGAATAAAAATGAAGTAATTTTTTCAGAGTATTGGAGGGTTGCTTTCTGGCGAACCTATGACACGCGTGTCAGAGGTGACACGCGAACTCATTTTTTTTGGTTGATTTTTCTTTGTTAAATGGCATTTAAATGTGTAAAATAAATATCAAAAATATAAGTCTTTGTTTTACTATGGTTGCAAATATCAAAAAATTTCTATATGTGACACGGCACCAGAGTTAAGTTAGGGTTTTTCAAAATGCTGACACGCCGAGCTCAAAAGGTTCGCCATCACTGAACTAATTAGACATTTTGTAGAAGGTTAGCTTGATCTTTTCTCTCGTATGATAAGATCAAGTGTTAGAGAAAAAGGACCTATTTATGGAAAAAAATATATTTGGAGAAGCTAAGCCTTGGGGCAGTAGGAAAGGTCAAGCAAGACCAGCACTGGACATTCATGGGCATCTCACGTCACAGGAAGCAGGAGCAACGGGCAGACAGATGGATGTTCGTGGGTAACCCTGGCCCCATGTATGTACACTCCTTATGGCTTTCAGAGCAAATTTTATATTTGATGAATAAAATTTTGTTTCAAAACTTTCACTATTCTCTCAGTGTTTTGTGCTTTTTTTTTTTTTTTGGTCTTGGAATTTTATACAGATATTTCAAAGTAAGTACTTTTAAGTTTCAGCTCTACCTAAAGAGAAATTATATCCTTCATAGACCATCTCTATATTAAATGTAACCTTAATTAAAAAAGAAACAGGTATACTAGTATAATCCTGCTATTGACTAGCAGGATTATTTGTAATATAAAATATTTTGTTATCTAGGACTGCCTAAATTTAGCTTCAGTTTTTTTAACATTTAAATTATGTTTAAAAATAAAACATTTCCAGAGAATATTCATTTAATTTTTAAAAAGGAAACAGGACACTGTGATGGGAAAGAGCAGTGAATTAGAAATTATAAGACTTGGGCTCTAGATCTGACCTTGTTCTGTGACCTTGGGAACATCTGATGAATTTGGGAACTTTTTTTGGGGGGGGGGAGGTCTGGAGGGAGAGAGAGAGAGATTGCTCCCAGCTCATAAATGCTAGGCTTTTGTAATTCAAGCATAGAAGAGTTCTTTCTTATTCTCACAGTGACCTCTTGTGGTAAAATCCTTTTTTATTTGCAAAGTCAACTTTGGGTTTATTTTTGTTGTATTTCTAGTAACTATATTTCATATTGTTAAGCAAATATGGCTTGTTTTCAAAAGGTGAATCTTGGTTGGAAATTAGAGGTTGATTAAACTGGGATCTGGGTTACCCTGTGGCTTCCTCAGAAACTACATGGCCGACTCCTGACACCTACAGAAGAGAAATGCTCTGGTTTTGCGCTGAGTGCTGTGTGTGTTCCTCTTCCTCCTAGGGACCAGGGGAAGAGGCGCCCGAGGGCCTCCTCATGCCCCAACAGCTCGGACCTGAGCAGGCTGGGAGCCAGAGCAGGTGAGGTGCTTGTGTGCTTAGAGGTCCCCAACATTCCTTCACCTGCTGCAGAAAGAAATGTCTGCACTGAAGACATCCGATGTTGGCTCACTGTTTGAAAACTCCAGGAACTTTGCTCAGCTTGGTCACACAGCAACATTTATTTTTATAACTTTTTGTTATTTTCACAACAGTCTTACCATTCTTACCATTCTTCCAGCTCAAATACTATTATCTATAGGTTACACTCTTAATGAAATTATTTTGTAAAAGCGGTTGGAAAGTTTCAAACCATAACATCAACATAGTTATTGAGTACAAAACTTTGGTTCAAAATCGTTACTCACTTAAACGAAACTATATCAACTATATGAAGACAGCTCTTCGGCTGTTTAAACTAGTTGAGAAAAATATGTGACAATATTAGTCACAGACTAGAAATGATACAAAATGTATCATGCAATGGAAAATCGCAATTAGAAAAATGAACTAGACTACATTTAAAATATTGAATGAAACGAGTATAAGCATAACATTACATGAAAAATTGAGTTGCAAAAATAATGATATATGTTGTTTATGGATATAGACCCATGTTGTAAACATGCTCCAGCATGATAAAATAAGCACCTGGTTTAGAATGGCGGTAACCCTCAGGGGGAGAAGGAGTGGGGAGAGCAGGTGCGGGGAGACATACAGAGGGCATCAGCTATATCTGTAACATTTTGGTTCTTTAAAAGGAGGAGGAGGATGAAAATATGGTTCATATTTGACCAAAGGAGTCTGGGGTATGCAGGTGTTTGTTATATTCTTTGTACTTTTATTATATACATGAAATTTTATGAAACCAAACTATTATCAGGTTCAAAAATGTTTTTATTATCTTCAGAACTAATTCCTTATCAATAAGATGACTTTCGTGGCCGATAAGAATTTCTGTAGTACTCAGGGAAATCTTAGATAGGCTCATTTCCATATCTGCATTGTTGCTGAGGCTTTTATATTTACATGCTAAAAACATCAGCCAATAAACACTGTGTCAAGTTTTTGTGCCCAGAGCTCAACGTTGTGGTTTAGAACTATAACCACTGAGACAGCAAAATCTTCAAAAACAGGCTGAAATTTCTGCTTGACTTACCCAATTTCCTGTTGAATCATAATTTTTCTCTTTAGCAAACCTAGGTAAAAGTGCTTTCTGAAATATTAGCTTGTTGCTCACGACTGAGGCAGACTTTATTTTTTTGTGTGGCTCTTAAAAAGTAATCATTATGAGCCCATGCCTCAGTTCCTAGTTAGTGTGTAGCATGGGCTTTGTGTGGGGAGCAGAGCCGGAGGAGGTGGGCGAGGGCGGAGATGTGGAGAGCCTGGAGCTGGAGACAGCTGCTCACGCAGGGGTCCCTAGGAGGGAGTGGGAAGCAAACCCTTACACGACAGTGCCCAGCTAACTTCCGTTCTGAGAGCAAACACACCCCAGAAACATTCAGATGGGCCTGTGAGGACCTTTCCTTTCTGAAGGTCAAACAAACTGTTCTGTGATTTCTGGCTCAGCCCTGTAATCCGACTCTTCCCGGGATGAACGTTACCAGTTCTGTTTGTCCTGAGAAAAGGGGGTGGACAGTCCTGGTTCTCATAGAGCCATTCTATTATAGAGCATATTGCATAGGCGGTAAACATGCTGATGTGAGCTCACCGGACTTGAAATTTGTGTGTCTAGTCAATTTAAGGGCATCATAAATGTTGGTCGATGCAATTATTTGTCTCACATTATCTTTTGGCTTTTGGCTTGATATATGTTGATTTTATTCATATACTTTGGACTCTGAAGATGTCATGTCCCTGGGAATATGAACAGCTATGTTTTTTATACTGCTTGAATATTCAGGTTTACTTTTAGAATCCATATTTGTAATTTATCAGAGTTATGGCAGACTCATGAGAGTCATGATCTCAAAGATGGTGACGGTGGCCTGTAATCTTTTATCTGCAGTTCTGAAATACCTAAAGCTCTGAAAGCTGAAATATTTTGCAAACCCCTTTAGTGACAATGCCTGAGCTGTACTGATCCCAGGCCAATGTAGTCTTGGTTCCACTAGTGTGAATTGTCACATATTTTGCTACCAGGGGGCTGCCCCAGAGGACCCTACCGGGGGTGGTATGTAAAATGCAGTGTGTGCTCCATATTGCCTTACTAAAATGCAAAGTTTTCTGCATCCCAAACCACATCTGGTCCCAAAGGCTTTGGATAAGGGATTGTAAGCCTCTACTGATATGAGCTGATTTTTTCCATTTCAACTATGTGTTTTGTGTGAATTCTTGCTTACAGATGATGTGAAACCTTGCAATTAAAACTAGTGACAGCCCCTACACTGCTTAGTTACAGCTTGTGGACAACCCCTTTTGTCTACTTTTGCTGCTCACGTGCTCTCCCTGCCCAGCGAGTGTCAGCCCCTCCTGGTATTAGGCAGGTTTAATAAAAGGTGAGCTTAGTCTCGCTGCAACTGGGAGTGGCTGTTTGCAGCAGGGAGTGCACTGGGGCAAGGCCTGTGAGCTGGGCACATAGGTAACGGGTATAGCTTTCCTGCCTCTCGGCGTCATCACCTCACTTAATAGGCATCGCATATATTCTGTTCAAGAGTAATACAAGCATCTGAGGAGTTTTGAAAAATACAACAGAGCACACAAAAGACATTAATAACCCATAATCCCAGCACTTGAGATGACCATTGTCATCCCATTTTACAGAGGAAAAGCAAAGCAAGACTTGCCCAACGTGAACCTGCTCGTAGGTGGCAGAGCTAGGACTCACACCCAGACAGTACCTCCAGAACCTGTGCTCCTAAAGGGCCTCCCCAGTCAGCTTGTCCATTTTTTAGTTGAAACAACCTAAATGTATACAGGCCACACACCTTTCTTTTTAAATATATTTTTAAATTGATTTCAGAGAGGAAGGGATAGGGAGGGAGAGAGAGAAACATCAGTGATGCGAGAGAATCGTTGATCTGCTGCCTCCTGCACACCCCTCACTGGGGATGGAGCCCACAACCTGGGCATGTGCCCTGACTGGGAATCAAACCTCCTGGTTCCTGCTTCATAGGTTGATGCTCAACCACTGGGCCACGCTGGCTGGA